ACTCTCACCCCTCTGTTCCATGACCTCATTTCCAAAATGGTCTCTTTCATGCTATTTCAGCCTTCTACTCAGTCACATTTTTTCATGATCAAATTTGCCCCACCTCCAATCCACTCTCTGACCACAGTCTCCCATCATTTTAGTCTTATTGTTCCTCTACTTGCACTACAGTGGACATTCAAATCTATCAGGACCACCAGGCCATGGATCACTCTTCTTATTCCCTATAATTAGCCCCCTTCTGTTTTCACATCCCTCTCTATCCAGCTTATTAATAGATTCCATGGTTCCTCAATTCAGTAATTCATTCTTCAGGATCCTGAAATCTGTGGCTCCTCTGTCTCTTTCTTATAATGTGGGCAGAAGTCCAACGTTGAATAAAGCCAATACCCAAGCAGCTGTTACTAGATAAAAGCCCACAACAGGGCAGGGTGGTACCACTGTTAATTCATAATTGCTGGTTTCAGCTGGGCCCTAAACACTGCCCAGTGATCTTACTAAACTTCTCTGGTCTGCTCACTCTCCCACTCTTGACAATGATTGTTTCAAATCTTCCTTACTCTCCCTACCCTTGAGGAAACAGTGAAGACAGGGAATATACAAAATGGACTTATTTTAACTAAACTGCTAAAATTATGAACATTATGAAGGTTGAGGCATGAGGAAAGACTCCATTCTTGTTCTCAAGAGCCTGAGAAGTTAACCTTTTTTGCTTTCCAGTCTTGTGTCACTGCCTGGATATACATCTGGACCTCTAGGTAACCATGTTATTACCCCATGATTACCATATGAAGGACTCACACATACACCTGACATCCATTATCCAGACCACCAGGACATGACCAGACCTCCTGGCACCCATCTTCCAGGTTCATTAACCCAGAAGCTCTAAACCTAGTTCTTCTGTTTTTTTTGTGTTGTTGCTGTTGTTTTGTTTGTTTGTTTTTAATGGAGGCTTCACCTGGCATCCGTCATCCTGTCTGACATTTAACTAATAACAGCTGGGTCCAACCTTAGGACTAAGGATGCAGGGACTGATAATCCTCAAGGATGTACTTTTTACTACAAGAACTTTTTAACTTTTCTTTCTTCTTTGGGTCACTTCTGGGTTTTCTGGCTAGCTGTGTTCCCAGATTGAAACCTCCAATCTCCAAGATCCTTGAATAAATCTCTCATTTATTGCCAGCAAAGCCTTCAGACTCTCTGAGTTCGTTCAACACTATCACCTCCCTAACTTTGAGCAGATTCCTTGTCTTCTACTTAATAGAAAATACAGAAGCTATTATAAGGGAAATTTTTGTCACAAAAAGTACAAACCTAGCTTCGTTCACACCCAGCCTCACACTCTCATACTTTCCCCATTAAAAAAGAAAAGGTGTCTCCTCTCCTCTTACCCACAATTATGCTCAGATTTACCCTGCTGACATATTAGGAAACTTACACTGTCCGTCACTTTTCCCTCTAGCATTTTCAGTCTTTCTCTTTACTGGATCCTTGCCATCAGCATTTAAAACAAGCTCAAATCTTTCTCTTAAAAAACAAAAAACTCCACAAACATTTCAACTTACTTTCCCCACTAGCTACTTCCCTCTCGCTCTCCCTTGTCCTTGGAAAGACAATTTGTCAAGTTTTCTATATTTGTTATTTCCGTTGTTTCACTTTCCACTAATAGATTAATCCCCTTTAAGTTGGCTTCTGCCTCAATATTTGCACAGAAACTCCTTTTCAGGATTGCCTATCACCTCCTGTCACAAATCCAATGCTTATTTAAAATGTTCATTTTCTCTGAATTTTCAGTAGTATATTATAGTGGGCCGTTGCCTCTAGTTTCTTTTCTTGGCTTTCTCACTTTACTCTCCTGTTTTTCCACCTTCGAAGTTGGCAATCCTTTTCATCATTCTCCTTTCTTGGGTCTTTCCGTTGGACCCTCCTCCCTTGTCACGTGTACTCTCCCCTTAAATGGGCTCTCCAGGCACAGTATCTACAAGGCCCTGCAGGGGTCTCCCCTCCCACCTTATCCACTCTCCCTCCTGTTGACTGGAGCCACAATGGCTGCCTCAGTGCTCCTTAAACCTGCCAGGCAGAAACGAGTTTGGGGAATTATTTTGGTAAAATCGGTGAATGAGCTTTCAACACATTGCTCAAGCATGCTTCTCTCTAAAGGAATTGTGTGTGGGGCTATTAGGTCCCTGAGCTTACATTTTAAGTCACCTCAAAACAAAACAGAAAGGGTAGACTAGATAATGGACTCTTTCAACTCAGACATGCTACTGAACAGCTTTTGTATCAAGTTTGAATTTGGCAAAAAACATTTTCTTGAAAGGGAGATGCTTGCTTTTTTTGAACATTCCTCAACAGGTCAGTTCCTCCGTTCTTTTCATTATCAATGTGGCAGATGGTAAGATTGTGTGCATCAAGATTCCTTTGTGGTTGTTTGTTGGCCTGCTCATCACGTGATAATTTATTATAATTGTATTACAAAAGATAAGGATAGAACAATTAGAGAATGAATTGAGAAACTAATGTGAATAGTCTAGCTCGCTCCTGAAGAGCTGATACTGAGAATTAATTTAAACTCAAGTTCTAATACTAAGCAAGTTATGATTTCTCAACTAGTACCTACAGAGGTGAAGCTGAAGCAGAAAATAAAATCCCGTTAACATGGTTGTTGGAAAGCTATGGCACCTTCTCCACCCCTACCCCTGTACTGACCCATGTTCTCATTACTGAGAGAGTTTTGTGCAATCCTCATCCTTAATTCCATTTTTGAAGGCAGGTAATATACTGACACACTTCTAAAGTCAAAATGATATAGAAAAGTGAACATAAGAAATCTCACTGGTATCCCTGTCCCATCCATTTCCATTTTTTAGCTTCTTTCATCCTTCTGGTGTTTCTTTATGCAAATGCATATTCTTATCCACCCACTCTCTCTTTTTGCACAAAATACAGCATACTATCTATAGTGTTCTGTGTTCACCTTTTCCCACGTAACCATACATGCTGCAGATCTCTACCTATCAGTTGATCCTCCTCATTCTGTTTTACAGCAAATCGTGTTCCAGTGGGTAGATGCACCAGTGTATTTAACCAGTCTTCTTTACAATCAGGTTGCTGCCATTTTTTTTACCATTAAAACAATGCTATCTTGACTAATTGTGTATATAATTTTGTACATGTACAGGTATATGGGTACTTTGGCTTCCAAGAAATGAGGTTACTTCAAAGAGTAAATAATTTGATAGGCATTGCCAGGTTCTCCTGCATAGGGAATTACATCATTTTGTATTCCCATGAATGGGAAAATACATTTTCCCATAGCCATGCCAACAGAATGTTATCCTTCTTTAGGATTTTTGTCAATCTGATAGATGACAGGTAATACCTTAGTTTAACTTGAACTTCTCTTATGATGGAGTTTAAGCTCTTTACCTGAGTGTAAGGGACATTTGGCCTTCCTTTTTCTGTGAATGGCCTGTTCATGTCCTGGTCCATTTTTCTGTTGGGTTGTTGGTCTTTTTCATATCTAAGACTTCCTTACATAGTAGAGAGGTTAGAATGGGTTCAATTTCTCAACACATTACAGAACTATAGCTTCAAAAGAGTCTTAAAGAAGTTATTCATGACACTCTCTACTCCTTGGAAACTGGAATCTCCTATTTCCAACCAGGAGAATTTTATTTCATTTTGACTTGAAAGTAACATATATTATAGAAATACTGGAAGATATTTAAAACCACCCATGATTGCCCTTTCTTATATTCCTCTTCTAAGTACATACATAAAATAAAAAGTGATCATCTTCCCCTGTCACAACACCATCTCCTAAAAGTGGCCATCAGAGAACATCAATGGTTTGTTGCATTTACCCCTAGTTCTTTTTCCCCTTCTATTAGTCATATTTATAAATTATATGGTGGAAATGTTTTATTTCAGCAATATCTTGTTACCTTTCCATATCTTAAACACAAAAACCCCACAAAAATATAGTCATATTTAAGGATTGTAATCTATGCAAACCTAGTATCCTTCCTGGCACCATGGTCATTTCAGGAACAGGGCCTTCTAAGAGGGCCTGGGAAGAACAGAGGTCTGCGTATCCTATTCGGTAATTTGCCACCATCTCAAAATATTTGAGTACAGGGTCCTGTTGCATCCACTTTGGCCCTTCTAAATTAATCTCTTGGTTAAAAAATATTTTAACTTCACTTAGTAGCACAACAGAAACAACAAAAAACACTTAAACATGTTGGTAATTTTAAGTGAGAATTTATATTTTGAAATAAAAATTCATAATAACAATTCTTTACAAAACTGTCACACAGGAACACACCTTAATATAATGATACATGCTGCATTTATTTAGGAAAAGTTAAGATATAGTCAAAACAAAAAAATTTTATAAATGCAAATTTCTTTCTCTGAGCAAAAGAAAGCTCATGTAAAACGTCAGACTGAACACCAGGGAGAAACAGCGCTGCAGGGACGGCTCAGAGCTTCCCTGCAGGAGGAGGCGGAGCCTGGTCTCCCAGGCTGGGCGCTGCGGCTTCTCCTCTTCGGCCCTCAGCTTCCCTGTGTGCCCAAGGGAAGACTGGATGATTTCTAAAGTCCTGTGTGTCACAGTTGTTTCATTTCAGAGATGTGTATATTATTATAACAGTATCATTTTCCTTTGATCATAAACTTCAAAAGAAAGTAACATGCTCCAAAAGTTTACTGCAAAGGGCACGATGGTTTTTATTGCGACTCTCACCATCTTTGGAAAGTTTCCTTTCAGAAGTTTCTGATTTGGTTCACTTTCTTGAAGATTCCTGCCTTGGGGACGTCCGCCATGCACACCAGAAGATGTGAAGAAACTAGCAGTCCTTTTCCTGAAGCTGTAGCCTAGGGCTGTGCCTTCAGTACACAGAATATGCTGTGTATCTGCTCAGGCTCCAGCCATCATCTCATTAGAGAGTGCCCAGTTGAGTGACTTACTATTTCTTCCTTACATTTCACTGTTTATCATGTAAGCTGTATTTCAGTATGTTCCTATAGAATTTTTAAAATTCATAACGCTATCAGTTTGATCAACCGTTTGAGGTTTTTACCTAACAAAACCTCAGATATTTTGCTGGTGTGTGAGGCTCAGCAGCTTGCACAGGGACAAACGATAGGATATATCTGCTGGTGGGTGAACTGCCTTTTAGCACCTTATACTTCTAACTCTGTCTCCCTCTGTTAATGTTCCGTTTTGCCTTAAGAGAGTCAACTTATTTTGCTCACACTTTCAAGTAAAATGTTTAGTTTCTTTTTTCAGTATTAAACATGATTTTTTACAACAAAGTCATGCTCAGGACTCATACTACAAAACCACACACTCAGATAAATGAACTAAAAATACATCTGATTTATCTCCAAATTCTAAACTCAAAGTCTTCAAGCCTTTGATCATGCACATGGATCCTTAAAGTCTAGGATACATGATTTCACATCATTGTTTCCATAGGTTGACAAAAACTAGAATGCATATTCTTAAGTGAGAGCATATCAATATCACTGAAATTCATTACTACAATGCATAATTTTTTCCATAATTTCTAGATAATTCATAGCACAGCATCACTAAAACTTGCTAATTACAAGAGCTGTTAATTTACAATCACTTCCTCTCATAATGATTGTACCACTATTCATTTATTTATTCCTAATTAAATTCAATTTCAACTACCTGATTCTGAGTTTGAGGTAGCTTCATAGTAGCCCTATTGCTATGAAAGTGGCATGTTTCAAAGTACTACCTGTAGTATTAGATTGGATTTAAATGAGGAGAAAATACAGTGATCAGTTACACCATTTCCTCACTAGGCACACAAATAAAAAAAAAAACCATCCATTTCTTTAGTGACAAAAATACAGTTCTTTTGTGAGCATAGACACAATGCAAGGAATCTGTTTCTTTGCATGAAAAGTAGAGTCAAAAGAAAAAGACTCAAATTCTGTTGCTACCTTTCTGTTAACCCGAGTAAGAATGTGCATAAGCTCAAGCTTCTGAGCGTGCTGTTTCAGCATAGCGCAAAGCGCCTGGATGAACCAGGATCCATCCTTTGAATTTCGCCACGAATAGTAACCTACAAGGAAAATACAACCAAAATACCATGGATATCTGATTTTATAAATTATTATAGAATCATAAAGGTAAAACAAACATAAACCTCCACAGGGATTATTAGCCATAAAAAGAAAAAAAACAAACAAACAACACCTTTGGTTTCAGGGGAAATGATGTCGGAGGGGAAAACAAAAACAAAACGTGTATATTCCGGAAGTAAAAACAAATAATTCATCACTGAATTATTCAGAGTTTTACTTCCTGGGCTTCCCTTACAATGGGGAAGAATGGATGAACATGCAGAAGAAGAAGCAAAAGCAGATATAAAAAGGATCGTTATAAGTAGCATGGTGTTACAATCAGATTACTGGCTTATCTGAGAAATAAATGGCTCACGTATGCACATACATTTAAGTGCCCTAAATTTGTCTATGAGGCACCTGAATAAAGCATAATAAACACATTACAGGGTTTTTAAAAAAGTCCAGAAAGGGAAAATAGTGTATTTATTGTACTTTTTTTCAGATTAACCATTGGACTTAATTGCTTTTAATTTAGAAGTATGTTACCTGGAAAGATGCCCAGAGGTGAAAATGAAATCATATTGAGCGTATTTGAAAACAAGTGTTTACAAATACATTTATCCTATATTTTCATACTTTGTGACATCCTGAGTTAATTGTATAATAAATTATGTGATCAATAAATAGTAATTTATATGATAACATGTGTTAACACAACCACAAAAAAGTGGAGGCTAATAATCTATTCATTTTTTATTTTATTCATGTATCATTTTTAATTTTATTTCCTTTCCTTCATTCCACTTCTACCCTCTCATGTACTATTCATATTTATCTTTGTTATTCCTATCTTTCAAAGAATTCCTGGAAAACATACCTCTCCCCTAGGCAAGAAGTAGGTGAAGCTCTGAGTTGGTCTATATTACAATATAGTATCCTAATCTGGTATCAAGTTCATGAATGATTGTGTAAGTATGCTTTATTATACCTGCATATTTTCTAGCCAAACTTGGCTAAAAACAACTTTTTGAGGCATCTCTGTGGTTAAGGTACCCTAACATACAGACAAGTTAGTTATTTTTTATGGATATCAAAATCTACAGCCTTTGGAACATATTCTCCATTGTTTAAAATCTACACATAACATTCATTATTTGTAACTTTCTTACCAGGTGCTGTAGAGTATGCATACAAGAAATCTGCCTCAACTGGTATTTTCTGACACGCCATGTCATCCTCAACGCTGTCGGTCTCAATTCCACAGTCTAGCTCTGTACCTCGGCAGGCCTAGAGGTTAGAATATAAACATTTATTTTTAAAAAACAGGTGTATGCACATAATTGATATTTTAAGAAATGTAAAGGCTATGTAAAAATTGATGCAATTATGCAGCATCTTTTTGAAGTAAGTCTAAAAGTAAAACCTATCCTATATCTCCTAGTGGTAGTTTAAATGAATAAAAAAGTAACAGTAGAGTCCAATAGCTGGAGGGAAAAATCCTTTGGATGATCCAAAATTGAGCAAATTAATCCCCAATATGCCCTCAAGAATCAAGTTGCTCAATTATGTATTACCTGAATAATGAAAAGTTTGGGTTTTCCAGTTAGACTTCTACAATAATCCCCTCTGAAAAAACTTGCTAATATTCTCAGGTCAACAGGTCCATTTGTTCCAAAAATTCTTCCTTCATCACCATGGCTTAGAAGCACACAAATAAAACTGCTCCTCTTGCTATGATCTTCTTTAGAAACTGGAAAAAGTTTACAAATAAGAAACAAACAAACAAAAATCAACACAACTTTATTCAATAATCTCATATATACTGTATAGGAATAAGATGAATAAACTTGAGAACGGAACTAAGATCATCTAAACCCAACTTGGGGCAGACCAACATACCTCAAACCATTTTAAAGAGTTGACATGAATAACTTTTATTTTACTTATAACCCTCTATCTAAAACATATAGTTCCAGTATATGTATTTGGAACAGTATAGTTCCAAAATTCTTATGCTTTATTATTATGTGTATACATAATTACAACTAGACCTTGGGCAATAAAACTGTCCTTGGATAAAACTGGACAATAAAGGTCATTCTTTTAATTATTTCTTACCACTCTGCATCAAATCCATAATTTCTTCACATGTGAGATCATTTTTAATCCTGACTTCGTATTTCAAGTTCATGAATGTTTCCCTGAGGTTTGCTGCATCTACATCTGTACCAGACCGAGATGCCATTCCTTGGAATAGAAAGAATTACTTAAAAAATTTTTTTTATTAGTTTCAGGTGTATAAAATAATGAAATAGTTAGACACTTACACCCCTCACAAAGTGATAAACCCCTTCCCCCAATCTACTACCCCTGACATCATATATAGCTGTTACAATTCCATTGACTCTATTTCCTATGCTGTACTCCATATTCTGTGACTATATATATATTAAATTATAGTTGACATTCAGTATTATTCAGCTTTAGCTTCCGGTGTAGGGAGCACAGTGGTCAGGCATCTATACCGTCCATGAAGTGGTCTCCCTAATAAGACAAGTGCCCATCTGATACCTACAAAGTCTTTACAACATTATTGATTATATTCCCCAAACTGTCTTTCATATCCCCGTGGTAATATTGTGGCAACCAATTTGTGCTTTCTAATCCCCTCACCTCCTTCCTCATCTCCATCTAAGAACTACTTTTTTTTTTTAACCAAGAACTACTTTTAATTGCATTTTTTAAAATTAACTGCTCTGAAATGAATTATTCAGTGATTCACACAATCCACAATAAATACTTCCTTTCAAATGCAAAGAAAATTCAATTATTCTTATCACAGAGACACAAAATCTTTTTAATTTCTTGGCATATAAGCCACTTCCTAATGCAGGCTCTATCAGCGTATCATAATGTAAGCAGATGCCAATGTGTTACAATTACAGGGATAGCTTTCACAGCTGCTTAGATAGTTAAAAACAGAAACAACTTAAATGTCTCAAGAGGTGTTTAGTTAAATAAATTATGATTTATTTATATGATGGAATACTATGCTGCTGTTGTAGACAAAATTTTGCCATGGGAAATGGTCATTTTTTAAAAAAGGCTAGAAAACAATAGGATCCTACTTTTGTTTAAGAAAAAATTGTATATATAAAACAGTACACACGTCTCACACACTCAGAAAAAAATGTTATTTCTTTGATTTAAGTGTACAACAAAGTTTTATGATGCATGACTACTTTCATAAGATCTTTTCACGTACAAAAACACAACTACTACCACATGAATACTGTTCATCAGGCATTCTGCTATGGGTAATCTCCTTTAATCCTTCCAATCACATGAGGCAGTTACGACTGGCTTTGTTTGTACTGATGTACAAATGTACAGAAGTACACAGGAGCTCTGGAATTTGTCCAAAGTCACAAAGCTAGTGTTAGACCTCTATCCAGAGGTCCTGGTTTGTCATCACTCCTTTATAGTACCTTCCGCAGAAATGTACGGATTGATTGTATGAGGCACTCAGACTTAAAAATGCGAGTGTTGGGGGGTACACACATTAGAATTGAGTAAATGTAAGATGAATAGAGAAAAGAATAAATGTCTGTATCTCTAAAATATCAGTTACTTCTGAGTGGTACGATTATGAGTGATTCTAATTTTCTTTGGCTAACTATAATTTCTGAAATTTCTATTGTGGGCATATGTTATTTTGCTAACATTAAAATAAGCTCATCAATGTCTTCCCGTTGGAAAGGCTGAGAACTCCATGTAGCTGTGTGACAAGGTGACTGAATTCTGGTCCTGGTTTGTAAAAGCCCTTAGTAGAAGAACAGAAAACATCAGACTGTCAGAGATTGTTGTGAGAACCTGACGTTCAAATTTCAAAGCAGAAAAGGAGCTCGCTCTAAGGCTCAAGTCAGACTACTGGTCTAAGTATTTTGGGGGAGAGCAGTGGAATGACATGCTTAATGGCTGAACATGGTATCTCAACTTATAGCCAATAAAAGCAATAAAAATGCTGCCGTTCAGATTGAGACACCCATTTTCAACCATTCTTTCCTCATTCCTACAATTAAACTAACACCAAATCCCGCTTCTCTTTCCAGGGTAATTTGGCTTCTTTCCATTTTCACCATCACGCTCAGAGATGGGCTTCCGAAACTGGATCTGCTGCTTCTAGTTTCTTTAATTAAAAATCAATTCTAATAATGATTAATATGCCAATTCAAAGAATTATCACAGCATCAATTTAAAGACGAAAAAACAGGGCAATAGCCAAAATGTCCATTCTTATGGTAAAGGATGCAAATTAAGTGAATGGTATAGTTAGGGGCTGGAATATTATGTAATCATTAAAATAATAGATATAAAAATTATACAGCACCATAAAAAATGTTTATATTACATTAAGTGGACTAAGCAGGATACGAGTTCCTTATATAGTACGGCTAAAATGAACCTTTGAAAGAAACTGTCAAGGAAAAAATATCAAGCAATACATCATGATATTAATTCACCTTTTTGGATCCTAAGGGTTTTATTTTTTATATTCTCTAAAAAATTATATTGAAATGTGTTTATTATTAGATTCAAACCATACAGGGTAGGGAGAGGGAGCAGGGGATTTGGTGAGCAGGCCATGGTGAACGTAGAGAGCAGTTTCAACAGAGTGGTAGAGGTGGAAAACAGGTTCAAGACGGATGGAAGGAAGTGAAGATGGCAAGCTTTTCAAAATTTAGGGAAGGAGGCAAAAAGCGGACCAAAGTTTAAGAGGAAACAGTCTAAAAGAAAGGTCTCTGTAAGATGGGGAGTCTGTCATCTTTTTAGGGAAGAGGAAAAGCCAATAGTGCGCTCGAAGACACAGGAAGTGGCGCAGCATGGAGGTGAACTCAGAGCTTGGTTGCAGGTCAGGAAGGCAAAGGCTGAGGCCAGCTCTGCTACTAAACTGTCTGTGGGACTCTGTGCAAGGAGTTTAACCTTTCAGCATCTAAGAATGGTTCCTTTTAGGGTTGTTGTAAAGATGAAATGAGACAATATCTGTGAAGTGCCTTGCAGTTCCTGAAAAGGAAAAATACTAGTACTTGTTGAGATCCTTTTCATTAGCATAAAAGAGGGAGCAGGAGGAAAAAGAAGCAAGGGTTCTAGAGGAGTCAGAGCAGAAGAGGCCAATATACAGGCAGGCTAACTGACGCAAGAGGGAGAGATCTTGATAGTGGGTAGGGTGGGTGGAATATTAAGAGTTCATGTTGTATTGTAGAACCTGTAGGGGCCCGCTCTACCTCTACTGCATGGCTATGCTGTGTCATAGTTGAATAACATCAAAACTATTTTTTATATTATACCAAATATAAACGGTACAAATATTTGAAAAGAGTTAAAAACTATGTTAATGATACATACCAGTACTTTTATGAAAGTTCTTATTATTGACTATTATACATAAACCCATTTCAGGATAATCCATTTTGTAACTATCGTCCAAGGATATTCCAGAGTCCATTGATTTGCTTCCATGTAAAATCTTTCTGTTTAGAAATCAAACAATAGTTTACAAACGTAAAAATGACCAACGCTGTTGTTCTCATTAATACAACTTTATAACACATAAGAACAGTTAATATTTGTTGAAAGTAATGTGCCAGGCTGTGTGCTACAGGCTTAACCTCACTTAAGTTTCACAAAACTCCACTTGACAGGCGAGGAAATAACCGCCATGAAGCTAAGCAATGTGCTGACAGTCATGTAGCTACTGTGTCAGAGCCAAGGTTAAAAGCGCCTGTTTGGACTGCAGTTCGGGTTTTCAATTTCTGTATTTCATAGTCTCCTCTAAATTTTATAAAAATGTAATCAAATATATTGTATACTTTAAAAATTTCTTGTAACTTTGTGAAATATTTTATCCTTCAAGGTAAGAGTAAGATCTTAAAGATTACCCTGAAAGGAAAGGAAATCAATGAGTAAATATGACTCAAAGCACAATATTTACCGCGATTGTTAAACTGTTCCTTAAAAACTATGAGCTGAACAACTTATTAATAAATAAAATCATGAATATAAATAATTGAAAATACTTGTCTGAAGGTCACTTACCCAGAAACCTTTGTTATCTAACCCTGTCAGCAAACTTTTTCCCAAAGGGCCCAACATTAAGTGCTTTAGGCTTGCGGATTGTACAGTATCTGTTGCACACTCCCTTCAGCTGGTCTAAGTAGCCTAGGACAATATTTAAACGAACGGGTGTGGCTATGTTCTAATAAAACTTAATCAAAACAGGCTGCAAGCCTGACCCCTGACCTATCAAGAATCAGGAAATAACAGGTCTAGCTAGGAACAGACAAATATCGATACCTAAAGTCCATGTACTCATGTACTTTACCCAAGAATATTTCCCATTATGCACAATTCTAAAAACATTGTTGAAAAAAGATTAAGATAAGTAAATTATAAATTAAAGCAGTCAAAGTCAGAAACAAAGAACTGTATTTCGCTATAGGTGAAGATGCCCACATTTTACAGATGAGAAAATTAGAACTCTGAAAGTTGTTTTTGAAGGTCATACGGACAATGGACATAGAGCCTCTCCGGTGCTGTCCTTCTGTTTCCAGGACGGGATTTCCAGCTATGGGCCAGGCACTGGACCTGGTCTTTCTCTCAATCTTACTCACTGTTCAGTGAAAGTTTTATTTTAAAAACGAAATTCAGAGGTTAGGTTAAGATGTGTAAAGCCACACAGCTGTGTGGTAGGAAGTCAACTGGGTCTCTCCGGCTTGAAAGCCCATATTCTTTCTGCTTCCCTAGTCCTCAAAGTTTGCTGTATCACACTTGTCCTTCTCTGATTATAGGGGATTCCATTTAAATACTCACGTTTCTGAATTTTTAATGGATTTTGCATCCACTGAGTTTTCAGTGTTCTCCATGGATGCTTTTATTAACTAGAATATAAAGACAATAGAAATTATTCAAAATCAGTCATTATAAGATACCTGCATTATATTAATTTTTCCAAAGATTATTTCTCCAAATTAATATGTCATATGGACATTTTCACATTAGTGTTACCATTCTTCCCCCCAGCTTTACCTCTACTGTTAGAGGTTTTAGTGAGTCAAACCTGAGGACAATCCTTTGTAAAGGTATGTGCAATGTAGCCCACTTCTCTCTTTCCCTTTCAACTGAGGAAGAATAATTACAGATTGATAAGATGACAGGGCTATTAAAACAATTAAATAGGGCAAAGTAAAAGAGAGACTGGCAATGTGAGCTACTTTAGCTATGGTGGTTGCGGAAGGTCACATTTACACTGAGATCTAAACATGAAGGCTACCAACAGGGGCTGAGCTTGCTGGGAGAAGGACCAGCAATATTCATAGTGCAGAAACAAGGCCAGTTTTGCTAGCACATGGTAAAGGAAGGGAAGGTCGGAGGAGAGATTAAGTAGGAAAGGTAAGATCGCCTTAGCGAAGAGGAGCTTCGATCGTATCCTAATTGCAAGAAACCATTGGAGTGTTTTAAGCAGAGGAGAGAGAGCATGCTTTAAAAAAATCACTCTAGCTACTGAATAGAGAATCAACTGTAGAAGGCTGGAGCAGAAGCACACAGCCGAATGAAAAGCCTTCTGGAATAGTTCTGGAAAGTAACAATGGATAGTTTGAACTGGAGTTGAACAGTGGATATAGGTAGATAAGAGGTTGGAACTCAGGGAGTGATCAGGGCTGGAGATATACTGGGGCAGTCAGGTATTTAGAGGGTTACTAGAGGAAGTAGGGCCAGCAAGAGACTAAAGATAGGTGAGTCAAAGGGAGGGAAAATCAGGTGAATGTGGTATACCAAAGCATGCAGAAATCTTTCAAGGAGTGTTCGATGGTTTCAAATCTTTCTAACAGGTCAATTCAGATGAGGACAGACAACCATTGGCTTAAGATGATGGGTAAAGTAGAGACTGTCAGGAAAAATTGTCCAAGACTTGGAAATGGGCAAAAGAAATGACTAGATATAACTTCAGTGTGGTGCTGGGCATTATCCTGAGAGCAGTGGTTCTCAACCTGTGGGTCACGACCCCTTTGGGGGTCGAACGACCCTCTCACAGGGGTCACCTAAGACCATCGGAAAACAAAAAGATATTTACATTACGATTCATAAAAGTAGCAAAATTACAGTTATAGAGTAGCAACGAAAATAATTTTATGGCTGGGGGTCACCACAACATGAGGAACTGTATTAAGGGGTTGTGGCATTAGGAAGGTTGAGAACCGCTGGTCTAGAGGAGTTTCAGGGATTACCTAATTTTATAGAGTGTCCTCTTTTGACTGACTTTCTACTGACTAGGGTATTTTACAACACTGTAGGAAATTAAGCTATAGAAAACAGCCATGCAAATGATTCTTGTCTATAGCAATGAAAATGAATTATGTCTTGTTATGATGCAATTTACTTCCAACCTGTAAAAAAGATGACCCTTCCAAATTATATTTTATTGACCTACAGAATATTAACCAGTTTTGCTTCTATTAGCAAATTCATTTCATTTTACCCAATAGTCAACATCTCCTTGTTCTTCAAATTTTCATTTGTACTGGTCTTAACATCTTACTGGTTCTATTATTAACTAACTGAATAAAATGCCAGGGGTGCCAAAAAAATGTACACATTTTAAGAGATGTTACCTATGTGTTACTTTTTGAAGTTGAATTGAATTAAGATAGCAATTCAATTAGGGTATGACATTTGCTCAAAAGATGGCGTTAATCAAATGAACGCTAGCGTCATTCACTCTATTACAATTTTAATAGTTTTTTCCTTGCTTAAAATGTGTATACATTTTTTTGGCACCCTCTGTATTTCGCATTTGTTTATTTATATTCACATAAACACCAAGTTTTACACTTTTTGAAAATTATACTTTAAAAGGATCAATGTTGCTGCAATGGGTTGAGACAATGGGAGAAAATGAGAAAAGACAACAAAAGTGAGTAAACAGTTTTGCTGTGTAGAGGAAAGGAGAAATGGAGTAGTAGCTGGAAGGGACAAGGAGTGGAGATTTCTTAATTTGTTTTGTTTTAAGGATGAGACATATAAGGCAAGTTTTTATGCTGATGAGAATGATCTATGGAAAGAAATTAAAAAGGCAAGAAACATAAAAAATTAATACGGCAAGGAGAGAAAGAGCAAAGTTCTTGAAGGGATAAATGGGTTTGTGGATCTAGTTCACAGATGGAGAGGCATTAGTCTCAGATCAGAACAAGTGAGGATTAACCCACGGTAATGGGAAGGAAGACAAATTATTATATTTGGGTACAATATACTGTATTTTGCCTTGTATAATGCATACTTTTTTGCCCAAATTTGTGAGGGAAAAATAAAGATGCACATTATACATGGGTAGTACTAATTCGTATCTATATAAATGTTTTTAATTTTTTAATTTATGCTTATGAGTTAAAAGTGTAACTCTAGAAATCAATAGCGATATCCATATGCAAAATAATACCCTGGAATACGATAATTGGTTTTGTTGAACTTAAAACGAACTTGCAAAGACGAAGAGTACTTAGCCTTCTGTGATGCATAAATATCATAAATTTGTTACCGGTACATAAAATTTCTTGTACCTTGTATCTGTTCTTGTGTTTTATAATTATTTGTTACATAAAATTCCTTGTACCACAATATGTTAAAAAATAAATGCTAAAATTCCTTTATAATACAAAAACCAGGTACTTAAATGTAAACAAATATAAGTTTGAGTTAAAAATTAAAACAAAAGATGTTTTCCCTGAAAATTTGGGCCAAAAATGTGGAAGCGCATTATATACAGGAACACATTATGCACAGCAAAATATGATACAAAGTCTGGTGAATCTTATGGATGGAGGGTACCTCTCAGAATTGAATTTATTTTCTCTGTATTTGGAAGATAAATGATGAGACAAGAATGCCCAAATGTCCTATCTCTACTTTCATGTGTACTTACCCATGTCTTTTTACCAATTAATACTGAAAACTAATCATATACAATGTCAGTAAAGTCTATGAGATAGGTATTGCCATAAACTACTGGAAGAGACATAAACTGGTATCATCCCTTTAGAATATTTTGACAACGTATCCCCCCAGCCCTCAATAAAAGTCTTGAATTTTCATCTAGTAAAATTACACTTCTAACAGTGCAGTCTAAAGAAATCATCCCAAGGGTTGTGGAGAGAAGGGAAAGAAAAGGATATGCACTATTCTTCAAAATACTGAGAATTCGAACACAGAAACAGTTATGGTCTATTCTTACACTGGTTAATACAACCATAAAACTTTTTTAAAGGACTTATCAATACCATGGGAAATGCTTATAAGGGTAAGTAAAAATAGGCTATAAAACAATATAATCTCAATTAAAATAAACACAAGAAAAAGACCAAAAATAATTATACAGCATCTTCACATATTAATCTATTTAATAACAGTGGCTATCACTGAGTGATGGGATTACTGTAAACTTACTCCTTAATAGTTTTCTATATTTTCTAATTTTACTATAACATCTACATTGTTTTTAAAGTTAAAAAATAGTAACAAAGATCATTTTATAAAATAATATGTATTAACGGTGGCAGACTGTATCAACTAGGATTGTGCTAGCCAATTTCAACTCCCAACCCTGTTCCAAGAGTGACAAAAATAGGGGTACTCCACCACTGTGAAAGAAGCAACCACTCCTTGACAGACCATGTTCCGGTCTGTCTGCCTTTCTCTTTTTCTTTCATACATATAATAAACATGTATTAGGTACAGGGAAATCTCAAACTTCCTTCAACCATAAATATCACAGAGACCAACCTGGCCCTCTGCATGACAATTCTAAGTGAACAGGCCATAAGGCAAATTATTATCCATCCACGGTTGAAATCAAAGTTGTGGTTAATTTGATGAACATGAGGACAGTACAAGGTGGCTAATGATTCTGGAAACATAGGCAAATACATAATAAGTGGTTTACTGATTATACATTACAGTCCATGAGAAAATAATATTATCTATGTTTTATGACTTTATAGCCAGCCAGCCTGTAGAAAATCAGGAGTGAAAAAGCACAGTGGGAAAGAACACTAAATAAAGGTAATTTCTGAAGCTGAGCCAGTGTCCTTTCTGGCCCCAGGGTTTGCCTCAAATTGGTCCTATGAATGAGTTTTCCAAATGTAGGGTACATACTATGTGCTCAAGAACCATGAATAGGTTCTCGCCAACAAACAAGGCCCTAAAGATCCCTTATCAAACAGTTCTTCTGCAAACAGTGCAGTGATTCTTGGACTGAAATATGAACTTCTGACAACTTTTTATCTCATGCCAACAATAAAGTTGTGGGTTAAAATTCTACCCTCATGACTGGTAATGGAAGGTTTAGATTTACATAGTGACCAGTTTTCCAGAATTTTAGAAAATATTTGGCTTCTCGGCTCATGCCAATGTTTTCATCTAAATATTAGTTGACTTTTAAATAGTCACTTCCTTTTCATACATTTAATCAACTTTCTTTAACCAAATAATTCTTTTTTCTTTTTTTTAAATTATTTTTTATTATGAAATACATTTTCTAGAATTAGTTTCAGCTGTACAACACAGTGCAATAGTTATACTTTTTACCCCTTGAAGTGACAACCCCCCTCCCCCAATCTGCCACCTCACTTCCCCCCCAATATCATACGTATCTATTGCAATTCCCTTGACTCTACTCCCACACTATACTCCACGTCCTATGACTATACTATATATGTGTGTGTATATATATATATATATATATATATATATTTGTATATATATATATATTCACTTATAGGTGACATACAATATTATACAACATCAGCTTCAGGTGTACAGTGCAGTGATCAAGCCTCTTCCCCATCCATGATGCAAGACATGTGACTACTTGACACCCTACAAAATATTTACAACATTATTAATTATATTCCTCGAACTGTCTTTCATGTCCCTGTGGCAATATTGTAGTTGCATAACCAAATAATTCTTAAAAGTTAAAAAGTTTCAGCTAGATCAGTCTTAATACAAATAATTGTATTTAATCATTTCTGATATTAGACACGAGGTAGTTTTGTTTCAGTAAAGTAGCTGGTGGCTGAAATTTAAAAAAACAACCACATGAATTTTTTTAGAATAGGATTTAAAAGTGTCTTATTATTTTGATAAGGGTGGCTTAGGAACAAATACTATCATGTATTTTGTTCTCATCATTATTAGTATCTGATTAATATATATTTCAACAGTATCCGTTGACTTTCACATACTATTAAAAATTTATATAATGGCATATAAAATCCTCATTGCAACAGACATGTGCAGATTTGCTATCTAATTGTCACCATCTGCTTTCCCACATGAAAGCACCACTTCTACTCTCCAGGGAGCAAGCTTTGTTTCTTGCAGAACTTAAAGTGTTAAGAGTTAGCATTACCTCACTCCCATTAGCTAATGTGGGGCTCATGCAAGTTGCTTGGGGATGGTGATCTCATCTTACAAGGATAAAAATTATCCCCCAAGGGAAACATTTAATGATAACAGGAGTTTAAGTTCTTAGAACATTTTTATTTGACAAAACATGAATAGGAAAATATATACTAGGAGTTTACAAAATATAGCACAGCAGTGGACTTCACACTATTTGTTTCTTACTGTACATATGTAATTATTTCCATCAATTCAGGATGTTGATGATAATAAATTAAATTTCTGAATACATATTAGGTCCCAAAGAAGTTCTAAGGGGACCAATTGAAATTAGACATCAACCTGGAACTCAGGTCTTAGAATCTTCTCTAGTTCCTAGATCCCTTTAACATTTACCACTGAAACTACAACATCAGGTCTTCAAAAAGTTAATGCAATAACAAGGAAAGCAGAATGAATCATCTACAGTGTTAAGGCAGAAGAATAAAAATTAATTTCTAAAACTGAAATTTTGATACAAAGTTATAAAGTATTAAAATTTTCAAAAAAACTTGGTTATTAAAAAATGGATAGTTTAAAAATGTGCTGATGGTAGAGATTTCAAAATGAGACATTAAATCAGTATAACCAGTTTGAGTGGCTCCTACTCAGATAATCTGTCATTCATCAGTAGGTTGCTCTTCACGCCTGGTCTCTGCCCTAGCAGGTTTTGAATCTCAAAATGAGACATAAGAACTAACAGTTCTCACTTTTGAATCATTTCCATGAATAGGAGTATCTTGAAAAAAAATTTATAAGTAAAGATTTACCAAAACAGGTAGCCAAAGAAAAGGCCAAAGAATCACAATGCCATATATGACTTGAATGTGGCATACACAATGTATGCTGCTGGTTCACATGGGCAAGACTCAGCTAAAAGGTACTTAAGTAAAGCCTTAACAGTATGGCTTCTGGGCAAACTATACCTCTTCTGCCAAAGAACTTCAGAAACATCAGGGTTGTATTTATAACCTATTAGAGAGGGAAAAGTCTCAAGAGTAGTCACATTTCCAGATTTAGTAAGTGAAATAGAAAGAATATAGTTTTCACAGTACTTTGGAGAAGACTTCAGCCGTACTGTGCTAGAGGTTTTATTGAAATCATTTCCCATCTAGTCTCTGAATTTCTTTGGGGACTTATAAGAATCACCAACACTGGATGTTGTCACTGGGCCTGGTAAAGTTGATCTTTGAGTATTTATTTTGTAATTAAGGTGAAAACACACTACCTGCTGTAAAATTAAATACAACAACATTAAGTTCAGTTGTGCCATACAAACAAAAACCACGAAGAAAGAGTGGAGGGCTCCCCACTATTCAAGGCCATTGCCAGAAAGAACATATTACTTACTGTTTGTGAGGGAGGGGTCTGTTTTCCCCTCACCTGAGGTCCTAAGGTGGTATCTCTGGAGGGACAAAAGAAGAAATGGGAAAGTCCTTGCAGACCTAAATATTTTGTATGAAATACATGTGGAGTGAAGGATCTTCGATACCTTTTCTAAAAATTACAGATAACCTATGAGGCTTCCTCCCTCCCACTGAGAGCCTCTCCTTTCTAGAAGCAGATTCAGGTTTACAACCACCAGATTAAAGAAATCCTGCTTGCCAGAGCTTTGATGAGAAGCGTCAGCAGTATTTATTTGTTATTTGCGCCATGATAATTTTTTGAACACCAACTGTGTGCAGAGTACCTTTCTAAACTCGGAGTGCATCAAGCAATGGAAGAGACAAAGATCCTATCCCTACGCGGGGCTTACACCAGTGCGCACTGGTCTTCAAAAATGGCTCAACAAGGCAGAGGCTGGACAGGGTTAAATTTGTATCAGATAACATTATCTTACTCTACCCTAATTCAGAAGCTCTAGTGGCCAATTTGAAGCAGAGACCTAAGAACATTACATAGAGATTTGTAAAGCATTTTCATAGACGTTATTTTATACTCACAACAAGCCCAAGAGGTATGTATATTACTTATGCCTAATTTATGGATGCGCTAGTAAGTATAGATAGCCCTTGGGACTTGGCCTCAGGTTGTCTGACTACAGAGGACCTATTTCCCTCCATACATGTGTATTTGTTAAATGTGTACAAAATAATAACTAACAGCCTGTAAATTCCCACATCTTTTTCTAGGACCAAACAACCAGTGCTTCCCTTCTCTGAAGCAGGGCTTAAAGAACTACCTAATACGAGGCACCAGAATCGATTTAATGCCATCCATGAAAATGAAGACTGCTTTCTAGCATTAGAAGGAAGACGAAGCTGGAGATTGTGTTAAATTAGGTTTGAAAGCAAAACAGCAAAGAAACATTGTAAATGCCTATATCAGATAAGATGTTAGTAAAGGCAGGAGGCAAGATTATTTTTCAGGATAGCAAAAACAAATCTAATTAGGTACAGTGTTTCATCTCTTTTTTTTTTTTACTGTGAACAGGTATTATTGCTAAACTCCAATAAATTGTTCATGCATTCATTCAAACATTTATAACTTTGAACAAGCTTTTTTTTTTTTTGCAAGAGCAAACCAATACTGAAGCTCAAACATCAGGCTGTAATAGGAATGATTTAAGCTTTACATTTCATTCTTAGATCATGTACCTACAACACATTCAAACTGGCTGAACACATTTTGATACAGTCTGGTCTAACCACCTTGCTAAGTTCCTCCCAGTACTACCCTGCATTCACATTGTTACAGCAATTCCCTATTTCACCTCTACCATTCCTTTCTAATCCACATCTTTTCATTATAATTTGCTAAGTAATCCGAAAACAGGTTTATTTTTTCTGGCTAGGGAATAATTAAAAGCATAATACTGTAGTGTGGGCATTCACTTGTGCCAGGCCTTGGGTATGGGGAAAGAAAATAAGGAATAAGGTAAACATAGTCCCTCATAGAATCTGCTTACAAGCAAGTAAAGAAGATAGCAAACAAGCAACTGCAAAGGATGACTTTCCCTTCTTAGGAAATGACAGATGAAAAGGAACATAACAGGAAAACTTAATCTTGATGTGTTTAATGACAACAGAAACCCAAGTAGGAGTTCCTCAAACAAATGTGATGTGATGGGGGGTGAGAGGGAATGTAAGAGTTTCAGGCAGAGAACAGGTATTAAGATCAGCATGGCTAAACAGAAAGTGAAAAGGTGCTATAATAAAAGATAAGGCAGGGGAGGGGACCAAGGAGCCACTCTGTGCTTGGCTTTGTTACCCATGTTAGGGGAGGAGCAGTTTTCTAGATTTTTATTTTGTAAAGATCCCTCAGCCTGTGCTATAAAGAATGGACTGAAGAGGGGCAGAGGGTCTGGAACTACAGAGGCCAGTGAGCAGGCTGCTGTAGCCAGGTGAGAGCCTCTGGTGGTTTAAATCAGTTATAGAGAGAAGTGGGCAGATTTAGTGGGCATTTAGGAGGTCAAGGAGGCGAGGTGGCTAAATGAGGAAGGAGCTGGGAGAGGTAGTTGAGAAGGTTGGTTCCTGCTTCTTGGTTTAGGTGCCATTTATTGAGAACAAGGAAAGTGGCAGCTGCCTGAAGAGCAGACCCACTGAAAACAAGAGCGGCAAGGGTGAGAAAGGCACTTACTCAACATGGCCTGGGGGTATTTCAAAGCAGCTCCCAGGTGACTGGCCTCGGATACACAGTCACAGGCAGGGGCTGGAAGGATTCACCGAGGGCTTCAGGTCTTTAAGGGAATTGGAGTTTAATACAGGAAATTGCCTCTCTAGAAAACTGGGTCAGTCACACAGTCAACCCAAGAAAATCGAAGCCCGAAAAGCAGGGAAGGCAGCAGAGACTAAACCCTTGTCCAATAATGGAAGGATCAACCCCAAGAAACAGCGCCTCCCGGAGAGCACCAAACTCGCTTCCTGCCCTCGAGGCATTGTTTCTCGTTGCCGATCCCCAGCGCCTCCTTTCCCTATACAAATCTCAGCCCGCGGACCTGGCCACCGTCACTTCCCAAGCAAGCATCCGTGGCCTCCTGCTGCCGGGTCCGGCCTCCTACAATCCGGCCTCCGCGCCCCGGCCCAGCAGCCCGCGCCCCTCCTCACTGGGCTCCCCGATCTGGGTCCAGCCTCCTGCTACCCGGTCTCGGCCTCTTGTCCCCCAGGCATGGCTCTCCAGCCAGGTCTCCACTGCCCGGCCTCCACATTTCCAGCTCAGTCTCCCAGCTCCCGCCTCTAAGCTCCCGGCTTGGTCTCTAAGTCTTGGACCCGCCTCCCGTCCTCCGTGCTCCTTAGCTCCAGCCGGGTCTCCGCTCCCCGGCCCAGCCACCCACCCCCAGGCCGGGTCTCTCGCTCCGCTGGCTTCAGTGCTCGTCCTTCACTCGTCGTCGTGGCAAAACAAAGGATCCGCCGCACGGACCGTGCCCACCTCCTCCGTCATCCCGGAGCAGCTGCAAGCCTGGACAGGTCCCTGGGGAGGGTGTTGTGCTTGGCAGGATGGAGGGAGCTGGCCCAGGGCTAACCACCCAGCGGCGAGAAGGGGCGAGGGAAGCACTCACCGAACAGCACCCACACAAAAGCCAACGACTCTCTCTCAGCTCCAGCTCGATTTCCGCCGCCTGCAAAGGGTAGCGGGGAGCTCCAGAGCAGGGACCACCCCTGGCCCAGGCCCCGCCCATCCCCGCCCCCTAGGGCCGGGGCGCTGCTTTCGCAGACACGTCCCTGCAGCCGCAGCGCGCCCCGCCCCTGTCTCCAGCCCGGTCCGCTCGCCCCCCACCCACCAGAAAACACAGTCCCCGCCGCTCTCTCCCTGCTCCCCGCCTTCCCACCCGTGCACGCCCGGGAATGTCGCCTCCGCCGCTTCCTCATAGGCCCGCGTGTTCCCCGCCTTCCTGGCCGCCCCGGGACGCCCCGCCCTCGCGCGCATTTTGAAGACTTGATTCCGGTCTCGGTGAGTCCGTCACAGGTTCCGCCAGCCGCTGACGATCGAGGGGTTTCCGCCAACTGCGCGGGTTTCTGGAGGTAAATGGACGGGTACCTGAAGGTCGCCCCGAGCCCTGGGGGCAGAGAAAAGGATGTCGAGGACGAGCCTGATGCCCAGGCTGACCCCTGGGATGAAGGGGAGCGGGGCGCGACCCGCACTGGTAATCTGCTTCCCCTCAGGGGGCCTGAAGGCCTTCCCTTAGGTCACCCCCAATGCCCTGACCCTAAATCAAAAGCCTTAACGACCCTATTGGTTCCCTGACCATTTTGGGTCACGAACTCATTTCAGACCCTGATGCAAACTATGAATTGTTTTCGCTGAAGAATGTACCAGCGCAATTGACAAATGAAGTTCTGCATCAAATTTCAAGAGGTTCATAACATTCTGATAAGTCAGGGACCCCATGAAAGAACTCTACTGCCCCCAACACTACTGCCTATTGGGGCATAAATCAAGGGCTGTAATTTATACACAAATATACGTCATTATATACCAGGGGTGGGGGGGTTGTCAAAAAAATGTATACACATGACTTGTATTCATCTTTTGTTATCGGTATGCATTAAGTATTACAATTTTAGTACTTTGTTCCTGTCTTAAAATGCGTGTACGTTTTTTGGCACCTTCTGTATAGGGCTACCATTTGTTGAGTGCCTATTCTGTGCTCTTACATTTTGGCCAATGTTTGGCAGTCCTTTTTTTTCTCTTTTCGCTTCAGTAAAACTGAAGAAGGGGACTTACTCCCAAACCCTAACAGTGGTTCAGTGTGCACTTATTCATAAGGAAGGCACTGGTGTAGTTGAACAAGTCCTGTTACCCCACTGTGATATCTAAACCCCTTCCTGTGCTAAACTTACCAAAATGATGCTTCAGTTAAAGCAACAGCAGCAGTTTTCTGTTTTCATGTAAATTACACTAATTTACCTAAATCTAGAGAAACTCATTATATCAAACAGTTGGCTGGAGGCACTGTCTTCTGAATCGAGTACCGTATTTCTCCATGTATAAGACACACCCTTTTCCGAAAANACTCTTGAGCGAGCCCTTAACCAACTGAGCCACTCGGCCGGCCCTGTGTGAGGAACTTTCTAAAAACTAAAATTATAAACAAAGGGATTAGTGACTTTAACTCATAGATGACACTTAAACATGCTTAAAAGAAATATTTTGATTTCAGAAGAGATTAATGTATAAGGTAAATTGTTCAACTTCTAAGAGGTCTTTAATCCTGAGAGCCTATAAATTTTTTAACATAAACGTGTAAAGTAATTTAAATATGTATATTTCAATACGTAAGTAATTTGGTAAAACTGTATAATATTCTGATAGTAAATCGAAATTTTAAAAAATGAGTTATACTTAATTATACCAAGATACTTGAATTTTGCTCAGGGAAAAATTTTAAAACAAAAACAAATTTTAAAATATTATTTTCTTTTACTTGTTTTTAGCATGTTTGTAAATCACTTCAAGAGTTATATGGGGTTAATTGTTCAGCTGAAGATGTTTTCAACTTGGATTCTAGCACTGATGAAAAATTTAGCCGCCATTTAATATTTCAGCTCCATGGTGTGGCATTTAAAGATAACATTCATGTTGGTAAGTTTTTTAAAAAAAAGTCATGGAGTTATATTAAAAGCTCATATTTTCCTTTACTTCTTAAGTTTTTTAAGTATTTGTCAGGTCTTATGGTTGTTAACCTATCCTAAAAAAATGAAACATGATTTTTCACATTTTCAGGATCTGCGTTTAGTTTTAGACCTATCTTCCTGTTCTAGGCACATCTTAGACACATTAACCTACTCAGGACATTCTTGGCATTAGTGCTTCATAGATGCTGTGATGACCATGCGTGCTCTGGCTCTGGTTTCTGCTCCATCAGGAGTCATTTCAGAAGTTTTCTGCTTAATACATGAGAGGCTTAATTCACATCTTGTCTGTGATACCTCAGATCTGGATTTCTGACTTTTTCACTTCAGCCTTAGCTTTTTGTACATGAGGACTGGGGCTTGGTTTCCAGGCCACATCCAGGAAGTCCTGTTTATTGTTAAAGACCAAACCNAAAAAAAAAAATTTCCTGATGTCATTGTCACTAATTGTGAAGATCCACATGATTAGTCCTAGTCAGTTATTAGGTACCAGAGCTATAATTCACATCTGATTGCATTCTGTATTTATTTTCTTCATTAAGTAATCTGTGGGCTTTATTAAAAGTTAATACATTTCATAGAAAAAAAGTTTCTCAATTAGATTGTCTAAATGTAGGGAATTTTTGTCTTTATGTGAAGCAGATCACAGTGAACTGAATACTTAGAATTTAGTGATAAAGGGCTGTATCACTTTGTATTGAAAAAGTAAAGCAGTTTTATTAAAAATTGCCCCATCTCTTCAATTGAATGAAATTACATTCCTTTCGTAAGTGTATCTGTTAGGAAATTTATGTTGATACTTTTAGAATTATATTTGTTTCTTGGTTTGTAATATATAATTTTCATGTGGATTAGGTATAACAGAGAAGACTCTTAGGTCTGTTATGTTTGGAAGTCAAATTTGAAATCTATGGATAATATGCCTTTATTTCTAACTGTGTCATGACATTCCTGTCCTCTCTTAATCTTTTAGGGCTATTTTTCCTCTCAGGGAGTATATAATTTTTCCAGTGAGTTTGTGTTGTCACAGAGTTTTCTGCTAAAATTCAAGAGAATATTTATCAACTTGATAAGTGCAAGTACTGGAAAGACATATTTGCCAAAGGTAAATAGGAATTTTACCCTCAAATGCTTTAGTATATATTATTATTTCAATTAAAAGAACTAATATATCTGTTTTCTACATAGGTATAGTATGACATAGAAGATATCAATGAAGAGGGAAACTCAGATATTGGTTATTTCTGTGTAAAAACCAGGCCAAAACTTACTGGCTTAAAAAAAAAAAAAAAAAACAACAACAATTTTTTCCTTATAGTCCTGTGGGTTGGCTGAGCAGTTCTTTGGCAGATCTCACCTGAACTAACTCGGGCTTACCCAGATATTGAATTCAGATGATGGTTGGATGATCCAAAATGACTTAACTCACAAATCTGATATAGTTAATGCCGGCTGTTGGCTGAGGTAGCTTGGTTCTTCTCCAGATGCCTTTTTATCCTCTATGAGGCCAGCGTTACAGCATGACAATCTCAGGGAAGGTGTCGAAAATAGCTAAATCCAAAGCAAAAGCACTTAGTCAACCTCTGCTTGTTTCTCATTTGTCAATGTGACATGGTCAAAGCAAGTCACCTGGCCAAACCCAGACTCAGTATGGGAGTGAGTTTAGATGGCATCTCCTGATGGGAAGAATGACAAAGAATTTATGGCCTTTTAAAAAATGTACAATAAAAGCTTCCCCTTTTCTAAAAACTTAGAAGTTTCCTCCCTTTCTTAAAAAAAACCAAACCTATCTTTTTCCTTGGGAAAGCTTTTCCCACTTCTTCCAAAAACCTATCCTTTTTTCTTTGTAAGTAAACCATAATCCCAAATTAGAAAAGTGTTGCCTGGCCCCCTTTAACCTTGCCATGGCTAACATGAAAGCATTGTATGCAAACAAAAACACATGTCATTAATAAACAAGTGTTAAAATACAGTCATTCACATTGCCTTATCACAAAAATACAGTCATTAAATTAACAGACACAAGTTAAGATTTATTTATTCCTTTTTTAATTCATACTTATGATTACCACAGACATCCCAAACCAAAACTAGCTGATATTGTAATTCACTTTAATTTGAAATCGTACCCAAAAAAATATATTCTAAACAAAGATACTGATGCCCTTTGTTCATTTTAGTATTAATTGATTAGAAATCTTCCATGGGATAAGATTTAGACTCCCCATACTTCTGAACCAATGGAGAGAAAATGGGAAGCAAAACTGAAGCGAATTGAAGAGCGAGCATCCCGTTACGAGAGGAAACCGTTGTCCTCAGTGTACAGACCCAGATTGTCCAAGCCTGAAGAACCGCCCTCCGTTTGGAAACTGTTTCCTCGGCAAACGCAAGCTTTTAATTTTGTTAAAAACTGTAAAGAGGTAATATTCTCATCTATTGTTTTTAGAGCTACTGTAACTTAAGATTTCTTAAAAAAAAACAATTGTCTTTATTTCCGGCCACATACTCTACCAAAAGAATTTAATGGCATTCTTAATATCACACTATTTAGGAAAAAATGTCCCTAATCATTAGCCATATATTTTATATTAATAATGAAAAAGAAGAACATATCTAGTGTGCCAATTAGTTTTAAAAATATTGTAATGACATTTAAATGAAGCAATACTTAAAGGAAAAGTAACCAGATTCATGGACTGAAAAATAATAGAATAACTGAGGTTTTACGTGTAAAACTAAATACAGAAATATGAGGAAAAGAATGAGTGGAGTATAAGATTTTTGAGGACGAAATTAGGCAAAGGAGAATTGAATTTAAACAATAGGAAATGAAAATGACTCAAATATTATAGTTTAGATTTAATAAGCTCTAGAACTTAAATCATAGTGCCAAAGCACACATGTGTTTATCTTCCTTCTAGCTCCTTTTGTGCTTTGGAGTAGTAGAGTGAATTTATCATAATTCCCAACACAATAGGCAAGTGGAAAGAAGAAGCGCTTGCTACGTGCTAGCCTCACAAAGAGTGTGGTGCTCAAAAATTCAGAAAACGTGTCATTCACATCATTTGTTTTTTGAGCATTGTGGGAAATGTAAAGAAGTATAGTTGACCCTTGAACAACACGGGTTTGAATTGTGCAGGTTCCTGGTTTTGGGTTTTTTTTCATTATGTACTGTAAGTGTATTTTCTCATCTTTATGATTTTCTTAATAACATTTTCTTTTCTGTAGCTTACTTTATTATAAGAATACAGCATATAATACAGGCATATGTTAGAGATATTGCAGGATTGGTTCTAGAACACCACAATAATTATCTCAATAAAGCTAGTTGTAATATTTTTGCTGATGGAGGGTCTTGCCTTCAATCTGTAAAACACACATCTGTGAAGCTCAATAAAGTGAAGTGCAGTAAAATGAGGTATGCCTGGGGCCGGCCGAGTGGCGTGCTGGTTAAGAGCTGGCTTGGGATGCCAGAGGGCCCTGGTTCGGATCCCACATATGAGGGCCAGTGACACTGCCCTCCACAGCT